ATAAAAGGACCTTCCTCACAAAGTCGACTCCTTAAAAAGATCTTCCTCGCAATTTTTCCTAGAAAATATTGTAAAAAATTACCTAATAAAAGGTAAAATGTTGTAAAATACTACCTATGGCCGAATTTCCTCAGTTGACCAAACTTTTTGGCGTTGACCCACCTCTTAACATAATTTTTATTTCAATAATTGAACTTAAATTAAGTTTATTAATTAAACCTTTTTGGATAGGAAAGAGAAAGTTGTGCAGAGACATTAGTAATTTATTTTTTTTTTTCGGTAAAGAAAGCAATATTAAAGATGAATAAATTGGTAACTTTTAATTATTTTAAAAAACATTACACAAAAATGTAAAGTAGTGTGCTCCCTATGTGTTTTAATAAGTGTAGCAGTTTGACCGATACATAGTTTTAGGCAATTTAATTGATTTAAATAAAATAAGAGGTAAGTGGGGGTAGTTGGAGAGTTAAAAAATTATAAAAGAAGATAGTGAGGTTAATAGTTTATTGAAAAGTAATGAATGTGAGAGAAAATATATACTCCCTTCGTACGTTATTGATAGTCCCTTTTGGCTAAATTTTAGTACCAAAATGTTCACCCCATTTGCATTTTCCTCCAATCATTAATATTAATTTTTTTTACCAAAATTCCTTCCAATTTGCAACAATATTTGTGCAAATTTAACTTTCGAATGTAATTTTTTTTGTATGTACTTTTATTATTTTCTCTCTTTACTTTTTTTGTATACCCAATGTAAATTAATCTTTCTAACGTACTTTTGCTACTTCTTATTTATGTTTATTAATTCCCGTGAGAATTGTCCATAAGGGACTATCAATAAGGGACGGAGGGAGTGAGATAAAAAAAAGTAGTATTAGGTTTAGGTGAGGATCATGAGAGGAGAGAGATATAATATTTAAATGTAGTTTTTTGCCAAAAAAGGAAGTGTAACACTTATTAAAACACGACTGAATTTGGTAAGTGTAACAATTATTAAAACACGGAGGGATTAATAAATTTTTTATTGTACACTCGTCTTATTTAAAAGTTTGTCCAAATATTATCGTATATATGTAGAAAATAAGTTTTTTTTTTGAGAAAAAAAAAGATTTAATTGGTAAAAATGATTAAGTTTTGTAAAATAATTTGTTTATGCAAAAATAATTTGAGTTATTAAGTTAAGCAAAAATTATCAGCATTAACTAGCTTTAGGATAACATTGTTAATTTTAATGCTATAATTAAACTTCAATAAGAGAGAAGAGAATTAATGACAGTTTACAATGATGCACCATCAAAGCCAACTGGCAGGCCAAGAACTTCACAAGTTTGGTAATATTTGAACATGTTTATTTTTGGTTCCTTATTACGTTCCCAATAATATCACAATTATGTAAATTGCAATAATATCATGATAGATAACTTACGAATCTTTGAATTATAGTATGATATCGTTAAAAAAAAAAAAAAAAAAAAAAAAAAAAAAAAAAAAAAAAAGAATTGTAGTATGATATCACGCTTGATTTTTGTGTCATTTCGTGTAGTATGCTTCAAAGCTAAGGTAATATCAACAAAGATATCCTCATTTTTAGTAAGATATATACCATCCATCTAATATCTTAATTTTATCTGTGATTTGTTTCTAGCAAATTGTGTGAACATAATCTCAACTGATCACAACATTCTCAAGGACAATATATACTTTGACTATACACGTAATACTAATGTAATGCGAATTAATTTGCATTTGGATTTCACTTTAATTTGCTATAATAACTAAAGAAAAAATTATAGAAGTAAAAATATAATTATTCTTAAAACACAAAGTAAAAAAAAACTTATAATTAGATTGTTACATAGATAGTTTATTTGTTGAATAAAATATTCAACACATCGTTTAGTGAAAACTAATTTTACAAAATAAGTGTCTAATTGGTTCGAAATAAATCTCACATTTAACAGCACTAGTTTAATTTTACAAATAAAATGAGCAAACTCTAAATCACTTTGCTATATCTTTAAACTACTTTCTAGTAGAATTCGACTTAGGCAAAACAAAACTTTAGGTTCAACAATACAACTAGATGAACAAAGTAATTCACAATCCTATATAGAGACAATTTATATTTTATATTTTATAAAACACTGAACATAATCAGGACTTTTATAAAAGTATTACATAAAATTTTCATAATTGTTTAATAAGTGCAATATAAAGCATAACAAAATGTAATTTTCCTTGTCATTTTAATGAAATAACTCTTGCCTTAAATGGGTGAAAAAGGGTGTGACACACATGTAAGTATATATAAAATACAAGGGTGACCTTAATCAAATTTACCAAGGTGGTATGTATTATTTTTTCATTTTATGGCAATAATTTTCAACCAATCAAATTTAATACATGTTTCATTCTACCAAAAGATCCCTAGCCTTAGTATATATATATATAGAGTACACCAGTCAAAACTTTTCTTATATTTTTCAACTTTCTCTCCATTCCATTCTTTCTTCACATTTCTCATCCTTCTCTACATTTCAAAATCTTTTGAAATGACAAACCCTAATAATAATGAATTCTGGTCGTCCATTGAATTTTTCCTTGTTGGTGAATTTGATGATCAACACTTTTCACTTGCTGAACTGGTATGAAATTTTAATTCTTCTTTTAAATTATTTTATTGGTATAACGTTTGAAGTTCATCCTTTATATATATTTGGATTGAATGATGGTTTTATTTGGTGCAATTATTTGTTCACATGGTTGATTGTATATCTACATTTGGTTCAACTATTCTTTTTTCCCAATTACTTTTATATCTACTTGTTGATTTAATTTGTGCAAATGGATGATGTTCATTTGAAGGGCAGTGTTTGATGTTTTAATACCAAGTAGTTTGATCTATTCCATGCATGTTCTCCTTCTATGATAAGTACTCTAATTTGATTTATGTCATTATATTTTTATGCTATTGCATGTTAAATTGATCAAACTTTACTCTCTTGTAGTGATAGATCAATGAGTTAAAACAATTTTTTTTCAATAAAATTTAATTTATTTGTAATTTTATATGCATCAACTGATTAACATCACACATGTTAAATCAATCAGAATTTAATTTTTCTAGTCATCTAGTGATAGATCAACGAAAACAATCCGATTATTTTTCTATCATTTTCTTTGTAACGTTTTCTATCCCGATTCATCTGCTATCGCGTATTTAAATCAATCAAACTTTACTTGCTTCTAGTGATAGATCAATAAATCAGCTCAATTATTTTTCTACCTTTTTTTTTATTGTAACATTTATGCCACGATTTATCTGCTATTGTTAAATCAATTAAACTCTACTTTCTCCTAGTGATAAATCAATGAATTAAATCAACCAAATTACACCGTAACATTTAGTGTCACGAATCATCTTCTATTGCTTGTAAAATCAATCTAAGTTTAATTTCTTCTGGTGTCAGATCGATGAATCAATCTATTTTTTTTTTCGATCTATTGACTTCAGTTTTGTAACATTTGTGTGTGGGTGTTTGTGCCCAATGGTAGTTAAAGTATTTTGGTATTTTAAAATTCTTTTCGCTTCCAAATTTTGGACATACATGTTGTTTCACAAACATGACTGTTACTACATTATATTTCATTTTTAACCATATTAATTTTGTGTAATAATCCCATAAATAATAAAATAAAAACAAAAAAATAAAAGAAAGGGGGAGAGAAAAAATTAAACCGTGGGAGGTTGTAGGGATCAGGGAGCTTAGGAACTCTGGGGACATGTACATATGGCACAATTCATAAATTACTCCACAATTACTCCGTAAAAAAACTAGAAAATTAGAAGTTATTTATTTTTATTTTTTTTCCAACCAAATACATCCTATAAAAAAACTTATACATCCTATAAAAAAAAAAAAACTTGTATAAATTATTGTATGACTACTCCAAAATAAGTTTAAAATTAATATAACTAAAATAACGATCATAACGAAAATAAAATAACAATCATAATGAACATTTATAATCAATTATTGTTTGAAATAAATTTTACGGTACATTTATTTACAAGTGTTTACAAGACAATTACCGTTTATTCGGTTAATGATTATCTGCTTTAATTTATTTTTAATCAATGTAATGAATTAAATCATATGTGACATTATTTATATTATGATTCTATTATTTTTGTTTCCCAGTTGTAATAAAGTATTTTTGATTTATTTCTAAACTTAAATTTGTTGCGTAATTAATTTGATATCTGTTCATACATGCATTTATACAAATTGTCTATGTTTTATTAATACTAAACTGTAACATTTATTGTAATAATTGCTGTTTTTTTATTGACATCGTTATTCATATTGACAAATAGGACCTATCAACGGACGAATTTACTGAAGAAGATTTTGAATTTTTGATAAACGGTCCACCCGTTAATAATGTTGCATCGCACCAAAGTGGGGTAGATGGCTCTATGGTAATTACTCATGTAGACAAACAATTCATATTAGCAATTTTCTGAAATAACAAATTTTTTACTGAGAACTTTATTTATAAATTTATTTACACTTCTTCACTAGTGTATTAAAAAGTGCTTTAAGAAAGTTTATGTGTCATGACACCTAGATTTTTAACCACCATTGCAATTTGACATCATGTATTGATTTTCAAAATAAAAGGCAACAACGTCTTACAAATGTATTTTTTTGTAAGGGTTAGACAAGCCATAAGTAGTTATATCTCCAACGCCTTTAAAATTTAAATACATACTCTGTAGTATTTTGCTATAGGCTATACAGCTATACTAATTACATGTACTATATGAATATAAACTACACAGTATTTTTATTCCAAAACTTTTAAGCATTTTTGCTTCAAATATCGAACAATTGTTTATCACGTTATGATGTCAAGTTTTCATTATGAAACAAGGCATTATGGAAAATCGAAACCCACTACATTGCCCAGTTTACTCACTAGTTATGCTAATTATAGGATATGATCGCCCAGATGGATGATGATGCCTCAACTATGGCATTTGTGGCGTTCGAAACAACACCGGAAAATATTGATCAGTCAAATATGGGAACTGTTGAAGTTGCTACTAATGCTTCCACACCTGAATTGGTAAGATTTATAACGCTTAATTGTTCAGGTCATGTACAAAATATGAGTTAATAAATTTTCAAGAATTTAAATTCTTAAAAAGTACTTCGTATTATCACAGAATATCATACGCCAAATGGGTAGCCATGCCTTTTCTATGGCATGTTTGGGAATGAGGACCATGGAATCATATATGGGAATTGAAGTTGCTACTAATGTTGCCTCAACTAAAGTGGTAATATTTCTACCCTAAAAGTGTTTAGGTTTTGAACAAAGTATGTATTAATGAACTCTTTAAAATTTATTAGAATGTCTACATGACCATGTAGTGTACATGATTTCCTTATTGTATTAGAGTTATGTTTACCATATTATTTTGTAACCTAGAAGTATATATATGTTTGTGATTAAGAAATGACGGCGTAAGCCATTTACTCCTAATATTTAATTTTCTCTCTACACAAATTAAATCTTAACATGGCATAAAGTTACTATCACTACAGGATACCATCGTCCAAATAGATGGTAATGCTCAAACTATCGCGACTATGGAGATTGGGGAGACATCGGGGCTAAATGTTGCATCATCATCTAACGGAACTTTTGAAGTTGCTACTAATGTTGCCACAACTGAAGTGGTAATACTCCTACCATTAAATTGTGTTGATCAAGGACAAATGTATGTACGTAGTAATTAATTATGAAGAACTATATAAATATTATTGTTACAGGATACTGCCGCTGGAACAGATGTTGATGCATCAACTATGGCAATTGTACCTTATATAGGAACCGGAGAAATTTTTAATGTTGCAACAACTTAATTGGTAATGCTATTAACTTTACATTGTTTAAGTCGTGTACAAACTACAAAGTATCAAGTTTAATACTTTGAATTGTATTTAATTTTTGATTTGCTTCTCATTATTTTTAAATTTCTTTTACAGTATATCAGAGTTGATAATTTTGCTGAGTAATATTTTTTGTTACAGGGGATTACAAATGGAGTGAATGATGTAAATGATAATGTTGTGCAAAACCCTGCGATGAATAATTGGGTAAAATGCAATATGATTTAGTTATATGATGCATACAAACATATCATATTAGAGTGTTTTTCATGCATATAGTACGTAAAATTAGATAATTATCGCTCAATTTTAAATATGTGAACGATCTAAATTATACTTCTTCCGTTCTTTTTCACTTGACTGCTTTGACTTTGACACTATTCACCACCCCTCCTTTGACCGTCTTTAGTGAATAATATGTAAGGAAAAAAATATTCATGTAGGATCTTTTTGAATTCGTCTCAATAAGTACTATCATAATATATAACTTTTATAATTTTTACTTTTGGAGAATTAAAATTATTGATCGTTAAAGTTTTGCATTGACAAAAAAAAACAGAGGAAGTACTTTGGAGTATACATGATAGTTTAAATTTAATAATGTAAACCAGAGTTAACGTATAATTGAAAATGCATCGATCACTCATTTTATTTTTATACTCCATATTAAGTAAATTATTTTGAATCGATTTTATATTCAGATTAATTCTTATTTAATTCATGCATGTAGAAATACACTTGATTTATATTTATTTTTTTTTTTTTGGTAATCTGATTTAGAATTTTATGGAAAATAAGATAATGGAGTTGTTAGTAGACGTAAAAACGTTGTATGTTGTTTTTAATTATAATTATTATAAATAAATGACTATTTTAATTTGCAGGCTATGAATGTTTTTAACTTTGACCAAAGGAAAAGAAAACTTTCGAGGTTTTCACTAGATGAACGCTTACAAGGCTGGACGATAAAGATCAATCCTCGTCCAAAGGACACAACAAGGACTGATAGAGTATGTAAATAAACACTTATTTTGTTTCAAAGATAACCATATCCGAAGTATTTCGCCCTAATGTACTATTGACGTACAAAGGTTCTTTTTTTTTTTTTTTTTCCCTTTGGCACGAGTTATGTTACTAATTTGAACCCTTTTTTTCTTGCAGTTCTTTGTACATTGTGGGTCTGGCATACAGTTCAGATCCAAGAACGAAGTCGATGACTTCCTTCATTTCGGCTATCACCCAAAAAGACAAGTGAATAACGTTAATGGACCTGTTAATGTTGTGAGCATATATATCTTACTGAAGTTGGCTAAATTGGTTGATAATAATGTTAGCATACTTTGATATCAATCATTCATAATCTTTACACTTGCTTAACTATGCAGAGGCGCTCGACTAAACGGAACATTAACTGGAGATTGTACCAAAGAGGAGTTCTACCTGATGGTACAACTCCTATCTTTGATATCAATTTTCTTGAACCTGGTGCTAAACAAAAGTCTAATAACGTAAGTGTTCTTTCTATCAAATTTCCTTCATTTTTGTGGTGGTGGTTATAATATTGTTTTAGTGTGTTTAAAGTTACAAGATGACTACTTATTGATCATTAAGATAAATTGAACCTTACAATGTAAAGATTCTATATATATTTAATTTCTATAAATATATATTATGTTGATGTCGCAGATAATCTTAATTGAAGGAACGACTGATCCTGAAATTGATAAGCCTTGTAAGAAAAGGAAGACGATTAAGCTAATCGATGACAAGGAAAGGGCGAAAGCATTTCTCTATGAAATGCATCAACCTCTTCAGATTAAAGATAAGGGAGACAACGATGAAGAACAGGATAAGGACAAGGATAAGGATAATTACAAGGACATTGGCAAGGGCAAGGGCAAAATGTATGAAGATTAAGGATGACAAAGGTTCGCCTTAACCTTTTGATAGTCTTCAACTTCTCTAAGTTCATCTTCAAGTTTTGAGCTTCAAGCTCTTTGAAACTCTTTTTAAACCTCTAATAATTAGCATTTGCAAACTTTATTTTAAGATCAAGGAGAGTATCCTTGGTATAAGAGTTATGGTTTCGTTGATGGTTATTCTTGGTTTATTCCTAATTAATTTGCTAGATTTTATATCTTTGCTATATATTTGCACCTCTATAAGTTCAGTGTTTTTATCATCTATGTGATTGTACTTCTTATATCTTTTGGTGCCATGTCGTCCTTTCGGAGAACTCAACCTCGAGGCTTTGTTCTTTCTCATTTTCGTTAGAAGGATGAATGGGGAAGAATCAACATACAAAATCTAACGAAAATTGATCCTATGTTGTCCAAGTGTTGTCTTTAATTTTCTATAACATATATGTGCGGGTAAATCCATGTTTCTCACTGATTGGTATCTCACAGGGGGGTTTTTGTATCACTGTGATTAAAGTGGTACAATTTTATCATCCATTTCTTGTACCACCCTGAACAATTTCGTATCACCGTGACTAAAGTGTTACATTTTATTTACCAATTTACCATCGTGAGATACAATTATGTAACTAACAGTGAGGTACTGGAGCCTCCTCTATCTGTGCTCGACTATGAGAAAATTTATACGTAGCGTTTTAGATGGCCGGATTAAAATTATATGATACTTTAAATTCGCAAGATTAGCTAGGTTAATGTTGAGTGTAGATCGACAATTTAATTAACAAGTTAGGTAGTTGTGACATAACTTTCATGTAGCGAATAGTAGAAACTCAATGATCAGAGATTATTATTATTATTAATATTATTATTTAAAAACCATCAGTAAAATATAAAAGTTACAAAAAAAGTAAAACTTTGCGATGGACAAAAGCCATCAGAAAAAATATATATTAATATATAGCCTAATCATCGGTATTTCTAAAAATTCCGATGGCTTTACAAAACCATCGATAATACATTTTAGCCTATGAATTTTAGTGGTCATCGACATTTTTCATCGATAAATGAGTGCATTCTTGTAGTGTAAGCATGTTAATAAATTTTTTGAAAAGGTTGGAATGTAACAAGGATTTTGAGCTTTACTTTTTCTTAAGAGTATGTCTTATATGATTTTTGATGTGATTTTACTAGTTGGTTTTGTGATACCTAAAGTGTCAATTCCTATTCTTAATTACTACTCCCTCCGTCCCATAATTACAGGCAAATATACCATTTTAGGTGTCCCAAAATGTTTGATCTATTAGGGGAATCTTTCTATTTTTGGACTATATTTTTGGACAATAATACCCTCATCTTAGTTTTTAATTGACGAATTTATCCTCATTTTAAGCTGAATTGGAATCTTATTTTTGGGGATAAGTGTACTTTTAATACCTTACAATTAATTCTTTGTACTCCCACTTACTCTCATTTTCTACTCCTTTTCTCTGAATATTTTCTCTCTCCATTTATTTTCTGGGTTCTTCCACTACACTCTCTCTCTCTTCTGTTCTTCATCCTCCGCCACTCTCTCTCCTTAATTCTCATGGCTTGTTGCTTCAAATCTCACGAAATTTACATGATTCCCTCTTAAATAGTCCCCTCTACAAAAGCCCCATGATAATTTTGCGCAAATTGATTCGGTTTGTCGTAGATCTGAAATTGTCTGAGTCACTGTTCATTTTCTCTCTCCTAAAAAACCATCAGATCTAGGGTTAGCTTGCTCAATAGTTACTGACGACTCATTCCCTCGATTAGGTGAGGTGTTAATTTTCGACAATCTTAAGCAATTTCTTTGTAGAAATTGAGTTTCTTTCTCCAATTTATTTTCGACAACATGTCTAAGAATTCGAGTTCCAATCTTCCAAAACAAAATCCTCCAGTTTGGGATGAAAGGTTTGGCCCAGATCCTGATATTTTGTTTCGTACTGACAGTGATGAGGATAATGGGGAAAGCGTGCCTTACGAGTGTTCAGATTATGACTGTCACTGGCTGACTGACTACAATGGCGACCATTCTTACAGCTTAGAGGTTTGGAGGAGTTGCTTTGGTCGTTACCTCTACACTACAGAACATTTTCAGCAGTATGGGTGGTCTGTTGGTGACGGTGATGGTAAAACCCTAAGTGGTGAGGAGGTGACATCAAAAATGGCTGGAAAAAAAAAATGATGATGAAGTTAACTCCTCCCCTGTTGCTGAAAAAAAGTCCCGTGATGTTGAAAAAAAGTCCCCTGTTGTTGACAAAAACACTGTGTCACCTCCATCTCCAGTTCCTAATTACACATTAGGCAATGTGAGTAACTCCAGCAACACTAATTCACCTTCGGACGACGGTAATGTTGGCGGCTACGTAAGTGATTCATATGAATCACATAGCTAAGTATTCTTCCTCCCTATAAATCTCTGTTTTAACGCATTTTATATTAGGTTAGTTGTTGATGGTGTATGCCAGCAAGTATGATCTCTTGCTGGCCAGGGGAATTATGTGTGCTTGATGAGGAGAATTGTTATTAGGAGCATGTTAGGACCGAAATTTTATTTATTTTGTGAAACATGTTTAACTATGCTTTCATTTGATATGATTAGGAATTACCTATGATTTGAAGTTGGTGACTGATTATGCATGATTTGATTGGAATATGAGGGTCATATGTTTTCATTTGATATGATTAGGAGGATGCTTTGATTATGATGATTAGGTGCATATGGTATGATTTATCAGAATATGTTATGATGCTACTAGTGAGTCGGATATGATTTTTATTCTTGGTATGATCTGAATTTTGTTAAAAGGAATTACCTATGATTTGAAGTTGGTGACTGATTTCTATGCTTGCCATTTGTGCTTAAAAAAGTCAATGATGATAACCTGAATGGTGAGACCCCAAATCCCCTTGTGTTTAAGAGTGTTTGCCATTGTTCTTGTCCACTTAAACTAAGTTTTGGTGTTGACTGTTTGCATGCTCAATCAGGTAGAGCTTTTAAACACTTGGGATTTGGGTCAATGATTGATGGGGCAAAGTGAGGCTAATTTTAAGTTTATATTATCTTCCATTTGCTTTAATTTTTGTCCCTTTATTTTTTTTCTGTCCACAATGATGAAAGTCCACAATGTGAGAGTATCATCCCATAAGTCCACAACACTTTGCCATTAGATTCCACCTATGTTTGTTTCATATAGGTTGTTTGAGACTTTTAGGCAATTGTTGTTGATTGTGGGATGATGTTCAATGATGAATGGGGACATCTGAGACCAAAACCAAAAAGATAAACATGATTTCTATCCCATAAGTTTGAAATCCATTAATTCATTGATATATTATGTGCCATTTGCATACAAAAAGTAATGATTCCAAACTAACTTCAAATCTAACAAAGATAAACATAAACAGATTGTATCAATTGCCTACAAAAAGGGATGATGACACTTTATGATACCATTTGCATAAACTACTGAGTACTTTAGAAATTATGCATGATCTACTTACTTTGATGATGGTTTTGAACTTGATGCTTCATGATCATTTGCACACACCTTTGTGCCATATTTGGTGGGAGTTGTTGATGTGAACTCATTAATTTGTTCATGTACCATTGCATCCCAAAAAGGGTCATTGACTTCATACTCATCTCTGTCTTCATTGAATTGTGATGCCATGTAAACATAGTCTTCTGTTTCTTGTGATTCCCACAAAGCATGATTTGTTGTTTGATCATTCTCTGTTTGTTCATTGTTTGTTGTACTTCCATAAATTGGCCTTTGTTCTGTGGCTTGCTGCTGCACATGTGGGTCAAACTCATTGACAAACTCTGGTGACCCCCCTTCCTCTTCAACTGGTGGTAAGGACCCATAAACAGCTTCCCATGCATCTAATACAGCCCACTTAGGTGCCTCTAGTGTATCTGGGAGTGTTCCTTCTCTTCACAATTTTTCCTTGTTCATATGTGGAACATCATAAGCATTTGAGCCACCTACTTTTAGCATTGCATTCATTACTCCTTGTAGGGTGATCCACACAAAATATAAAGCTTGTGGATCTAACTCATAAAAAGCTTCATTTACATGCTTAAGTAAGTCATCAACATCTGAGGCCATTTTTTTTTCTTGAAGTGATTGAATGCTCCTAAAAAAACCCAAATCAAGTATGTTTAAATCAGGACTATTTGGAGGTTGTTGAACCAAAATGAATGTGAAGCCATCCTGCATATGTACTTCTTGCCACTCAGGGTCATCTTGAGTTATGTGTGCCCTAGCATTATCTTGTTGAATGTATATTGTCCTTGAGGTGCCATCATTTGGCCATTTTGCCTTAATTGCTGGGACTATTTGATCTATGAGCATTCTTCTTGTGACTTCTTTAGTGACTTTTGCAATGGGCTTGCTTATCAATGTCCTCTTTTCCCTATTTTTTGACTTTCTTTTGGCTGCCTCTTGTGTTGTGAATGGGAAGATTCCAATCCTCCCATCAAAATAACATTCCCCCTGATCATTGTACCTTGGTTTTGCACATGCTGCTGTGAACATGAATTTTGGCCCATGACTGTTTGCTGACTCTGTTCTGTGTACACCCTTTTCATTCTTGGCAATGTAGTACCTGTGATTTTTTTTGGTTAGTTTGAACCATTTTTCATCAATATGAACAAAGTCATACATTGGGAAGTATCTTGACATTTTCCATGGTGATGAACCCATTATGAGACCAAGTATCCACTTCAGTCTAGCCAACTTGTTAGCCTCTGTCAGTGGGGGCTTAATTGCATTTGTATGTGCTTTTATATCTCCCCTCTTGATCATTCTGCCAACTGTTGATTTTGAGATATTGAGATTTGTTGCTACATCTCTAATGCATGACCTTTCACCAATCCCAAGTTTTGTAATGTCCCCTATTGGAACAGTGATTCTTTTCCTTCCAGCCGGGTGATAATTTGTGCATGGTTTGTATTTTCCCAGTGCTTGTTTCTGTTTCTTTGCTTCATTCCAAACTGAGCTCACACATTTTCGTTTGAGGTTGAAATGTTCCATGGCTTCTTTTATTGCCCCTCTTTTAATATCATCTCCCTCATGATATTTTAACAGGAAAATGAGGACATTAAATTTGTCTTCACTGTTGAGCCTGACTTGTTGATGCCTGTGATGAGTTGGTCCTTGGTTTGTTGCCTGAGCATTTGTTCTTTGTTCTTCTTGATTG